GTTTCTTATTTTATGGTAATTATTTCAATACCAATACGTTTTGTTGCTTTTTTATCAATCCCTGCATTTTCTGGTGTAGATCCCTTTAAAAAAAAAATCCCCCAAAGGGTTATTGTAATTTGTTGAAAATGTTTTCCTGTAACGAGATAAAAGGGAGGACAGCCTGCAGTCAGATGGATGTTTATTTGTAAGATAAAAAAAAAAAATTATCTGTGCAGCTCATGTTCTGACCTAAATCATTACGGTCTCCCTTGGAGGCAGGTTCTGAGCCGCACAAGAAAAAGTTATTAACGTAAGCATTAATCTGTAGTACAGTACATGGTGACCTGCAGAGACCAAGATTAAACCATATCAGAGAGGAAGAAATGTTTTAACTCACTTCTCTACATCCACTTATTGTCACACATGCTATAAAACATGCATACTTTGTATAGAAATGGGCATTTCTTCATGAAGACCAATATAAAATTTCGGTGACCCTCATATTTTCTTGATTTAGGACTGATTGACCTCCTGATGTGATCTTATACTAAAGCGAATTGGTTTTAATGTCTGAAAGTTTGAGTTTTTAAACTCAAGATTTGACCTCTAGTCCTTGATGGATCTGATCTTAATCCTGCTTAATGGAGAACATGCCTATGGAGGATAAAAAGTGCCAAAATTAAATAAATTATTACAGCATTAAATAAATAATTAAATGTGTCAATAATTAATTAAATGTGGAATTAAATAAATAAATGTGTCATTCATTAATTAAAACCACGTCACTAATATAAAGTGCCACAATTAAATAAATAAATACAGCGATAAACAATTAATTAAATGTGTAATTCATTAAATAAATAAGGAATTAAATATATAAATGTGTCATTAATTTAATAAAATACGTATAATTATATAATATACATATAATTATTACAGTGTGCATTTAATTGCATCTGTGCATCGAAACATTAAAAGAATCTGTCAAACTCACCCATCAAAGTTAGGGGGCGGTTATCTAACACCTGATTGGTCACCCACATTAAGGCAAAGCAAATCGATTACAGAGACTGATATCCACAGGTTGTGAACATACTCTGTTACAGTAGGTGGCGACTCGATTCGCGTTAACCCCGCCCCCTAACATATGTGTGTTTCTATTGTGACTTTTGAGTGATTGATTTTTTTTTTAGAGTGCCTCTGTAAAACACGGATCCCCTGAAAGCAATAAAAAGCGCTAACCCGCTGAGAAGGGCAGTCGGTGTTTGCGACAGTGCTATTTCCAAACGGCCCTCTAGGGGGAGCACAACTCAAAAATGACTTGGTGCTGTGTTAAGTTTGTCGACCCACCTCTGGAAGTTCTTAGAGCCTCTATTTCTTTGATGCACTGTAAATTCTTTTTGCAAGCACTCTATTATAAGACTGGAGTTGATATCCATTACGATTGTAATGCTTCTTTAAAATATATATTGTTTTTTATTTATTTAAGGCAGCAATGTCTATGGAGGATGTTGAAATTGGACTCTGAGCGGTTATTTCTAAATTTCTTCATAAAAACTTGCATCAATCCCCCAGAAAGGTTCCTGCTTATGACATTTCATATTACATCAGGGCTTTTACCTAACATGGGAAGCCTGGTGCACGTATGTAAATAAGTAAGAGGCTTTGCAAAGTGGAAAAGATTTAAGAGGATGTGCAGGACTCATGTTAGAAGCTGTTTAATGCAGCATCTGCTTACTGGGACAGCTGACTCACCACAGCCATCTTCCTCTCATGCCGTCCGTTACTAGCTGTAAAACAGATCCTGCTCTGCTTCCAGTCATGTTAGCAGCCAAGCAGCAACTGCCAAGGGCTGCACAGAGAGACATGCATGATGAAATATGACATCTGACTCTGCTGCCTTTGCAGAGCGTCTCGCGTCATGGGGGCTTCATGCAGCGTCCCGAGGGGCTGCAGTGTTCAGCTCTCTGTGCCAGTTGTAATCTGTGGGAGACATGAGCTGGTAAATGTAGACGGGAGTTCATTAAATCCCTCATCTCCATACCAGAATGTCATCCAGAGCCCGTCGGTGGGCAATAGCTGACGTTAACAGGTGGACTAATGTCAAACAAGCCAGGCATTGCTTTGGGTTTCTTGATGCATGTTGCAGGAGGCCTGTGCTCCCCTCACTAACTATGACCATGGGAAATTATTAAGAATACTTCACTGGTTTCCAACTGATTAATGGAGATGGAGATTTAATTTGGCAAATAATAGAATAGAAACGTTAAAGAAAAATCTTTTTAATTTTAGTCTCATTAATATTTCTAGGTCATTCATGAAATTATACACGATTAATTAGAGGCTTATTTGTCTCTAATGGATTTTTTTTTTACCAACTTGAATAAAATAACCCAAATTCTGACAAACAACTTGACTATGAAGGAAATTATACATATTCTAGAAAATCATTTAAATATTTTCTGCTCTGACATTAGTTGCTCCGCATTAATAGAAAACAACCCAAACTCAAGCTAAGCTCTGAAAAAAAATAGTTCTTCCATCCATTACAGGTTTACAGTTGCTCCCTATGACTCAATAGCTTCTAAAAACACCTTAAGGAATGATGCTTTGGATGACTTTGACTAGGCCGTTTGGACCTTTTCTAACCAACAGCCTCATCACTGACTCTAAAATCCCTTGGTATACAGAGGAAGTTATGTTTTACTAAAAGGCTGCAATACCGGACCAAATTATCATCATCAGCTCTCCGCCGGTGCTCCAAATTTTTTTTACATGAGGTCTTTTTTAGCTCAGATGTTGTCAATAAAGTTAGAATTTTGGCTCATTTAGCTTAAGCAAACTTCAAATTTCAAAATTATTTGGAAATTGCTCCATAGGTTGCAGTGGTGGCTGGTTGAGTTAAAATAGAACGTCAAAATAGACGTACAGTATACCAAAACAAATCAAATGTATACTAAAGTATGAATGCCAACAACAAACAACATTCTAAAACGTTCTGAAAAGTGCTTTAAATCAGTCATAGTTGTTTTAATCCATGCTGGGTCAGATCCTGACGTTTGAAAAGTGAGGCAGGGAAAGCAGAATAAAGCATTAGCCTCGCTGCATGCAGTTAGCCTAGCCTTGTAGCTAAATAATTCTATAAACCTGTCAATCAGCTGCACTTTCTAACAAACGACTGTGACGTCAGTGCTGGAGGGGGTTGGTGAGCAAATAAAGTTGCTTTCAGTTTTGCGTGCAGGAGAGCTGCTCCCCAGGATGCTACTGTATTTAGCATTGAAGAGGAGCTACTGCGCTGGAAAACGTTTAACCAGAGTCTATGGGGGAGGATTTCTGTGCCCCAGGGCGGACACATGTCACCAATCCAACAACGGATGAAACAGCTTTACTAAGACTAGACTTAGACAACTTTTATTGTCATTTTGTAAACACAGTGTGTATAGAAAATGACAATGAAAGTAAAAAAAATAAATTAAAAAAAATACGAAATTCCGTTTTTTACAGCTTTCTTCGGAAGAGGATTAGGGCCACTGGGGGAAAAAAAAAAAAAAAAAAAGTTAACTGATTTTTGAATTTTATTTCAGTTTAGTATGGAGGGAAAAAAGTCAGAATTCTGAGGTTTTTTTTCAGAATTCTGACAATAAAAAAGTCAGAATTCTGAGATTAAAATCAGAATTCTGAGAAAAAAGTCAGAATCCGAAATTTAATGTCAGAAATCTGAGATTAAAGTCAGAATTCTGACTTTTTTCCAATACTAAAATGAAAAAAAAAAAAAAATCAGTTATCATTTATTTTTATTAATTTTTTAGTGGCCCTAACCCTCTTCCGTAGTTTTCAGAACATTTCCATTCCATAAAGTGCAGCAGTGATCAAATGTAAACAGTGTGGGAGGAAAAAACATTGTGCAGAAACAACGCATTGATATGGAAGTTCAAAGCATTAATATATATGGTGCAAATATGCAGTGGTTTGGTTTGATTTAGAGTTTTTTCAACAGTTCAGCTGTCTGATGGCGGTGGAGAAGAAGCTGTTGCTGAATCTGCTGCTCCTGCATGGAATGCTGCAACATCTCAGAGGGCAGCAGGGAGAACAGTCTATGAGACACGCAGCGCTGGGATGAAATGTCTTTATAATAATTATAATAACTGAACTTTATTGATCTCACATTAGAGAAAAACCCTCTCTGCATTTGCCCCATCCCCTTGGGGAGCAGTGGGCTGCCATTATGCGGCACCCAGGGAGCAGTGTGGGGTTAAGGGTCTTGCTAAGGAACCCATATTGCAGTGATCGACCCGGGTACTTGCAACCTTAGGGCATAAAAGCACTGCTCTAACCACTAGACCAACACTCCCCGTCTGACCGTTCGATACTCGTCATTAAATAATAAACATTTATCTTGCACACCTAAAAATGTATTAACGTTCAAAATAAATAAATTTTTATGTCTTAATCAAGTTCATTGGGTGAGTAGGGCGGCGCCCTCTATTGGCAGGCCGCCACTGATACATCGGCTGAATGGAAGCAATTGCTTTTCTGATTTAATTGCTTATTTCTTTACCTTGATGGTGGATTTTGATGCTCTGGCTGCTGCTTGTCCTCTCGACTGGTTATGTATGTTTTAGAGATTTTGCATATAAAACTGAATAACATAACATTTCTATTCTACCATTACTTTTTTTACTCTTTAGAGGAAATTAATATCTTGAGTAGATGCAGGGGAAAATGCATTTTTTGTGTCTTTTATCAATGCAGACTTTTTTTTCCTTTTGTTTATTTTTTTTGCTAGCAGGCAGAAAATGCCACCAACACATCCAGATGCATTGGTGAAGCTTCACATGGTCACACTGGGGTTTTTAGTTTGCCTCCAGGAATTATGCAAAGCAACACACTTGCTAACTCGGGCTGATTTGCATTGCTAGACATTCTGTGTTAGTGTGTGGGTGTAAATATTTATCACTGTAGTTTAAAAAAATAAATAAGTAAAGTTTAATCCTGTGATTTCTGTGTGTGTTTGGCAGCTTTTTGACCGAGTCAGGGAGGAGAACCCCGACTTCCACCAGAAGATCATCCCCATCAGCAGCGAGCTGACGCAGCCTGGCCTGTCCATCAGCTCGGAGGACGTGGAGAGGCTCAAAGCCTGCATCAACGTCATCTTCCACTGCGCCGCCACCATCCGCTTCGATGAGCCGCTCAAGTAAGATTTCTCACTGAACAACGTAGCTTTGTGAGCTGGTGTAATTCTTTGTTCCTCTGGTGGATGTTGGTCTCACTAAGCAGGCCGAACCGTTTCTGGATTTCCCAGAAAAGAAGAAGTGAACAGGTGGAGGATGTGAAACCAACGCTTTGTGAAAAACTCAACTGTTGACAGTGTTACGGTTAAATAAAAACATGTGGTTCCTACTTTATTCAGGAGACTAGTGTTTGTAGAAACACACTGATTCCTTGTTTTAAATCAGACTGATAATATATTTAATCATTTCCCGTCAATAACCATCTCCTGAACGTCCACGTAAGAAAAAAAAAACTCAACCATTTCTGTTTAAAACAGATGTGTTGGTCAAAACAGGCTAAATGGTGTCATTAAAAAAAATCTAAAGAGAATAAAACTGGCACCGAACACCAATGCTTTGCAGAAATATGTCATATCTCTTGAAATTTCCCACATTTAGTTATTTTACAACCAAAAACTAAAATAAATAATTTCCATATGCTTCTGAAAAATGCAAAGAAAAATTATTTAGGAGGTGTGGCGGGTAGGGATGCACGATATTGGGATTTTGGCCGATATCCGATATGCCGATATTTTAAAACTCATGTAGCCGATAACCGATATCGATACCGATGTTAAAGCTGGACAAAAATAAGTAGTCATTGAAAATAGCAGTTTTGTTATCCATTTCTGACACTTTGAAAAATAATATACTCAAATATATTTTCATATGCTGATATCAAATTGATTTTTAAAAACGCGGTATCAATCTATTTTACTTTCAAAATCTGGTGAAATTTCATCGTTCTGTTACAAACTCTCGTGATATTTTGCAAATTCTTGTGAGATTTTGTTAGTAAAATAGATCGATACCGCGTCAATATATCAACATATAAAAATCTGGCAAAATTTCGTGAATTTTTGGGGGATTTCGTAGCATAACGATGACATATAGCAATATTTCATTAGTAAAAGAGATTGATATGGTGTTTTTAAATGGCAATATATCAGCATATGAACATATTGGGATATTTTAATGTTTCAATATTTTTTCCCTCGTCTTTAGAAGTTTTTAAGTCTGTAAAAAAGAAGTGTTTTAAGGAAGAAGAAGTAGTATTTTTTTTTTTTTTTTAGACTTTAGAAACTCAGAAGCTGATCAAATATCGGGTTAAATATCGGTGGGGTGGCCGATGTCCGATATTCAGTTTTAAGGCCAATACCGATAGGGGGCCGATTATATCGTGCATCCCTACTCTCTGGAATAATTATGGTCTGACTTCTGGAAAGATGCCCTTTCAGTCTCAGTCATGGGCTTCTTCTGGTATTCATATGCTGGGTGATATATACAACAGGGATGGTCTGATGAGTTTTCAAAATCTTTGTCAATTGTTTATATTCCTAAGTTATCATTTTTTTTTTCTATCTTCAGTTGCGGTCAGCACTACGTGCTTATGGGGTACCATGGGACTCAAATGTGCAAATCCACCCTGTTATCCATAAATTGCTGAATTCTCCGCACAGAGGATTTTCTCACCTTTATATATCAATGGCTCTTGAAATCATCCTACTCTAGCATTCCTTTAGTAGCTAAGAGGGAAAGCAATTTAGAGCAAGAATCTATAGAATGGGAAGGGGTATGGAATAACGTTTTCAGGGCATCAAAGAACCCCAATCACCCCCTCACTGGCTTCCTATTAAAAAATGTCTGTTATACTTTAAAGATGTTATAATGATGGAACCGTCTACTGCAAGAATCCATACGGCAAGAGTGTCAACCACACAAATGTTGGAAAAAATTTGCAAAGGGAGTGTTAGACTTGCTGGCGAATGACGCACAATGAGATGTCTCACATGCTTTGTCCTTTTTTTTTCTTTTTATGTGTATTGGGTCATGTGATTTGCAGCTAAGGTTGGGGTGGGGCTGGTGGGTATTGGTCACTGACTTTAGTAATGTTCCTGTTTCCCGGCTTGGGAATTTGTTCCTAAATAAAAAGACAGTGAATGCCAAAAAAAGTAATAATAATCTGGAAATATTGCCCAGCCTTAAGCAAAAGATGATTTAGGAGAATTTTCTACAGAATTTAAACCATGGAAATCTAAAGTAATGCCACTGGAGTTCTTCTTAATAGAGCATGTTTAAAGACAAATATTGTTTTTCACCTTAAGAAAAAAAAAAAATTATTTGTATCCAGTTTTGGTTTAATAATAGTGTGATTTAGTCTCTGAATTACTGAATTAGTTGATGATTATTTCTATTATCGACTGAATATTTCAGCCCTTCTCTCAATAGTTTTATAACTCTGTAAAAACGGATCCAAAAATTTGTACTATTTATATTTTGAGTGCATGTGGCTTTTTTGTGAAGATGGTTTGCCAATAATAAGAATGTTTGCTCTAAAAATAAGTATTAGAGATATTATAGATTTGAAATAAGATAAAGTTTTTTGCTTATTTCTAATGCAAATCATCATTTTCCATCGACAAATTCGCTTATCTCTTCAAATCAGAGGAAAATACATTATTTTTCAAGAAATAAAAATGACTTCTGTTTAAATTTGAGCTGTGTACTCAGGAGCCAGGGGTTCTGTAATCAGATGAGTTGGTTTAAAGTGAGATGTTTTTGTTCTTTAAGCCACAAGGATGTTTTTTGGCTGATTTGTTTTGAGGTTTTTCTGTCCAAGAAATCAGCCGTGGAGATCTGGGGCCACTGCCGGAGGTTAAGTAGCTATTTGGATAATTTGAAGGATTTAAAATAAATACTGATTTCTCTTTTAACTTATTGATTAGTTTCAGTAACATGTAATTTACATTTCACCCAGATCATACAAATTGATTCAAAGTTTTCTATCTATAGAAAACCAGTCTATTGCATCGACTCATTGGCTCTTCAGCAATCCCTCACACTAAGCAGGGGTTGACGTTAAGGATTTTTCACTATTACTTTGCCCAGAAACAATCTTTACTTGCCCAGTATAATGTTTGATAAATATAGTTCCTAATATTAAATGTTAAACATTAAATGTTTTTTTGTAATTCAGTAAGTTTCCAGGTTCCTGGTGTGTATCTGCATGCGTCAGATAATGAACTCAAGCCTACATTATCGTGTTAACATGCTTTTCAATCCTTCCTGCACATTCTTTTCAAACTAAACTTTGCTTTAAACTGTTGTTTGCTTGGAAAAAAATTGTAATGTTAAAAATAAAATAAAAAAACTTGACAGGTTAAAAACTTACACTACTACTACTCACCAATTTACCATGTTTAGCTCTATAACATTTAAATGCACCACTCCAATGTCTAAGAGAAAATAATTTAATGAACATTTTTTAATGTATGACCATTGTATAGAAATATTTACAGTGTGCACATACAATTATTATTATTTTCCTAATCCCTGACTGATCATTTTTGTGCCAGCTAGTGGAAAATCACGCAGCTTTTTCAAATCACGCGAGAATGTATACAAAACAATAAAAATGATGCCGGCAACACTTGTGGGTCGTTTTCAGCGAATGTCGGTGATTTTAAAGTAATTTTGAGGGATAAATATATATTTTTTTGTGATCATTGCACTTGCCCGGCAGGCAAATGCAATGAAATTTTTACTTTCCCGACAATAAAAACTACATGCGATCGGGCGATGGTTAACATCCAGCCCTGCTAAGCATGCTTGTAGCTACAGTGGAGAGGAAAAACTCCCTTTGAACAGGAAGAAACCTCCAGCAGAACCAGGCTCAGTGTGAGCGGCCATCTGCTGAGGCCCACTGGGATTCAAGGAGACAGAAGCAGACATAGAAAAAGAAGCATAGATACAAAAGGCAAATGTAAAAGGTGGCCTTCATCCGCTGGAAATTGCTGGACATTTTGGTATCAAATTAGAAAAAACTTAGATTTTATTTTTTTCATTTCAGTCAGAATCTCCATGGAGAGTTTTCCAGTGTTTCTGCAGAGTTAAAGAAATCTGAGAGTTGATTCACTTTTACCTCAGAAGTGCATGAGTTTAAAAGATAAAAGAAACAAACATGATGTCAAAAACTGATATCCATCAATATCTCATTGAATATTAATACTGAGTTTGTAATTTTAGTTTTGTGGAAACTCTACCCCGTCTGTGTATTTATCCATCCTTTTTATAGACTGTTCATCTACCTGTCCATCAGTCTGTTCATCTCTCCTTTCTTTTCTTCCATCTATGCAGTTTTGAATCTTTTTTTAATCTTTCCATCCATTTGTTAGTCATCTGTAGGCCTCTGCGTCCATTTTCCATCTCCCTCCCATTAATAGGCAAACTCTGTTAATACAATAACTAGTAAAAGAAGAAACCAGTCTCCTTCAACACAACTGCAGCCTAAAAAAGTAGCTGCAGTTTCTTTTTTTGATTAAAGACAAGAAAGATGATCCCTCAATCGCTATAGAGAGGGGACTATATAGAGACTTTATAGTTGACCGATTCCTGAGCGGGGATTGTTCGGCGCTCCGCTCCGTTCACATGTATGTTCAGACACAGCCAAAGTCTTCCTTCAGGCATCTTTACGTGTGGGTTATACAAAAACTGGATTAAAATTGAGGAATTACAGGACTTAGGCTTTTTTTTTATTTTGAAAATAAGCTTAACTTGCTTTCTTCTTTTCTTTTTTTTATGCCACATGGGTGAAAAGACCTGTTGCTGCAACTTTTAAAGCAATCATGCTTTTCTAACCTCTTGCAGCAGCGGGCTTTACTGCATACCTAATGCTAAATTAATCCAGTAGGTGGATTTTCGTTCGTTTTCTTTGCTTCTGCTGTTAGAAATGTCCAAATGTTAGTTTGCTGCTTCACATCAGAGCTCAGAGTCATTACATAACAGCAGCAAAGGCAGATGGGTGGTGACTCAGCTGCAGGAAGAGGCTCTGCGGTTTGTCCGGCCTTTTTCTCCCAGCCCTGCTGGTGTAACACCCTGCAGGAGCTGGCAGGAGGAGCTCACGCCCACACACTGAGCCGGGCTTCATCCTCCCGTCACTTCTCTGCTGGACCACTCGCCCACATCCCACCTTTAGAGGAGAACCCACGCCGAGCCGGTAAAGGCAGTAGATCCTGTTTGTTCCTGCGTCTGTCAGGTTAAACTGACCTGCAGCGGGTCTCAGTGTCGCCCGGGGCAACGAGGAGTCTCAGCTGCAGAGTTGATGTGAAGCCTGCAGGATATTTACTTCCTAGTGGACTTCATCAAGTCTGGTTTCTTCTGAGGAAGATTTAGTGGTTTGATCATTTCTGTGTGGAGCAGAGTGCTTCATGTTTATTAGGTTATGGTTTTAGTAGGAAAAGCTTTGCTGTATCGGTTAGAAAGAAGCCCTATATTTAATTCCAACTACCAAAAACACTTCCTCTCCTTTCCTTTTCTTTTTTTTAATTCTTATTCTCAAGACTTGAGACTTGAGTTGGACTTGCAAAAAAGGACTTGTTAACATGTCTGGTGCTAGCCATGCTAATTGCAGGGGATGTCTGTTAAGGGGATGATTGCACGCTCCGCCAGATAAAACAGCCTCAGAAACGAATCCAGAATTACTGGCATGTTCCTCCTGTCTGTATAATATCAACCTACAGGATGTTGAGCTCTTAATAAAGAAGATTGTTTCTGTAGATATAATTTTCTGTTTTAGATAAAAGAAATCGGATGAAGCTTTAAACACCATGATAGAGCGGAGTGGTATTTTTGTTTGAGGGGTTCATGTCAGCTCCAGAATCACTGAAAGGGTCCAAATTTGACCTTTGAACTCAAAGCGCTTCATGGTTGGAAGGGTTGCAGATTAAGCTGAGGGGAATAATCATTGAAACGCTAAGATCAACATATATTAGCAGAGGAGCAGATGCTCGCCTCCACTTCCGAGCACATTTCATCGCTCTCTTTTTTTTCCCTCTCTCTCCTGTAGGGCCATTACTGCTCAGGCTTAACATGTTTTTATTGAAAATCCTGTTCGGTTTGAACGTACAGTTGTCAGTTAACAAACTCATGCAAATGCTCTCCTGCACAGCAACTTTCCCCCTCCTACACGGATCAGCCTTTGCCTCCTCCGCACATGTGGCGGCCTTTAACGGCGTTTCTCTCTCTCTCCTCGCATGCAGACACGCCCTGCAGCTGAACGTGATCGCCACGCAGCAGCTCCTCAGCCTGGCCCGGCAGATGCACCACCTCGAGGCCTTCATTCACATCTCCACCGCCTATGCAAACTGCAACAGAAAGTACATCGATGAGATCATCTACCCGCCACCTGTCGAGCCCAAGAAGCTCATTGACTCTTTGGAGTGAGTGAATGAGAGATGATGTCATTAAATGCAGCTCAGCTTGGTTCCCGTTTTTATCAAAATCAACAGGATTTATTGATAATAGCGTGTCAAAAAAAACTGTAGGGTTAAGATGAGTAAATTTGCGAATAATTAAGTTTACAGCAACAGGATAAATAAATAAAAATGTTCTGAATAAGTCAAATAAGTACCTTTTGTTTTATTAAAAACTCTTTTTGCAGTTAAATAATTGACATCACCGTTTTTCTTTATCTTTAAGTGTGGCATATAAGGCTGCTTTGCCAAAGAAGATAGGCAAAAATTTATTTCCACACTTAGGTTGCCACATAGGGGATAAAGCAAAAGTTTAAGAATGAATTTATATAAAATTAGGAGGCTAGATGCTAATTAATGGCAAAATAAATTATTTATTTGTGTGTATTTTTCTCCTGGATGGCAGGGATATCTTTATGTATTTCCTAATTGTTTCATTGTACATAAAAAAGTAAGTAAAACAAAAATATTAAAGGATTAAAAGGTGTCTGTGCTAATGCTGAAATATGACAAATTTGAAAATATTAATATTTTAATTACTTTTTAATGATTTTTTTTTTAAAAGCAATATAAAATATGATTTTTTTTTTTGTTGTTTTTGTTTGTTACTAAAGTTTTGCTATGACCAGACCTGATTTAGAATATTTATAAATTACCACACGTTGTCCGACGGCAGTGTCTAATTTTACTTGCGCCTCTTCTCCTGTTAATACGGTAAAGCCCTCCGGAGCGTTCGGCTCCAGGCTGCACGTGATCCAAATGAGCCAATGAGCTGTCAGTCTGGGTTGCTGCTGCTGCTACTTTTAGACACAGCAGGCAAACCTGTGGCAAGCCGGGCGATGGGAAAGAAGGAGAAGACCATGAGAAAAAGAGAGCAGAGAAAGTGTGGACTGCTGGAAGAACTGCGGTGAACTGGTGAAAGAAAAGTGAAATGGCGTGCTCAAAGATGACCCTGCACATTTAGAGGATGTTTGGCTCAACCTGCTGCTGTGAAGCAGGATTCTCCACCATGAACAGAATCAACAATAAATCTGGATCCAGGCTCAAAATGAGCTCCTTGATATGTGCTTGAGAATGGCTTAGTCTCCGTCCACACGAAGTCAAAACGAACACGAAATGCTGACATTTTCCAGAACGTTTGTCTTAAAGACGGAGACGTAAAATAAATGGGATCGACCACATGAATGCATGAAAACGCTGCAAAATGTATGCCAGGCCTGTAAGTGGCGCTGTGGTGCCAAAGCAAAAATAGGCGAAAACAGGCAACGAAATGTTGGGCATGCGCAGTAATATTTATACAACAACCAAACCGGAAAATGGCCCTGCGGGTCCATTTTCGTGGTTCAGTCAAATTCAGGTGATGAACTACAGGTGCTGGTCATAAAATTAGAATATCATGAAAAAGTAGATTGATTTCAGTAATTCCATTTAAAAAGTGAAACTTGTATATTATATTCATACATTACATACAAACTCATATATTTCAGATGTTTATTTTGTTTAATTTTGATGATTACAAATGACAACAAATGAAAATCTCAAATTCATCATATCAGAAAATTAGAATATTGTGAAAAGGTTCAAAATTGATGGCCCCTGGTGCCACACTCTAATCAGCTAATTAACTCAAACCACCTGCAAAAGCCTTTAAATGGTCTTTCAGTCTAGTTCTATAGGCTACACAATCATGGGGAAGACTGCTGACTTGACAGTTGTCCAAAAGACGACCATCGACACCTTGCACAAGGAGGGCAAGACACAAAAGGTCATCGCTAAAGAGGCTGGCTGTTCACAGAGCTCAGTGTCCAAGCACATTAATAGAGAGGCGAAGGGAAGGAAAAGATGTGGTCGAAAAAAGTGTACAAGCAAGAGAGATAACCGCACCCTGGAGAGGATTGTGAAACAAAACCCATTCAAAAATGTGGGGGAGATTCACAAAGAGTGGACTGCAGCTGGAGTGAGTGCTTCAAGAACCACCACACACAGACGTATGAAAGACGTGGGTTTCTGCTGTCGCATTCCTTGTGTCAAGCCACTCTTGAACCACAGACAGCGTCAGAAGCGTCTTGCCTGGGCTAAAGAGAAACAGGACTGGACTGCTGGTGAGTGGTCCAAAGTCATGTTCTCTGATGAAAGTAAATTTTGCATTTCCTTTGGAAATCAAGGTCCCAGAGTCTGGAGGAAAAGAAGAGAGGCACTTCATCCACGTTGCTTGAAGTCCAGTGTAAAGTTTCCACAGTCAGTGATGGTTTGGGGTGCCATGTCATCTGCTGGTGTTGGTCCATTGTGTTTTCTGAGGTCCAGGGTCAACGCAGCCACATACCAGGAAGTTTTAGAGCACTTCATGCTTCCTGCAGCTGACCAACTTTTTGGAGATGCAGATTTCATTTTCCAACAGGACTTGGCACCTGCACACAGTGCCAAAGCTACCAGTACCTGGTTGAAGGACCATGGTATCCCTGTTCTTAATTGGCCAGCAAACTCTCCTGACCTTAACCCCATAGAAAATCTATGGGGTATTGTGAAGAAGAAGATGCAATACACCAGACCCAACAATTCAGAAGAGCTAAAAGCCACTATTAGAGCAACCTGGGCTATCATAACACCTGAGCAGTGCCACAGACTGATCGACTCCATGCCACGCCGCATTGCTGCAGTAATACAGGCCAAAGGAGGCCCAACTAAATACTGAGTGCTGTACATGCTCATACTTTTCATGTTCATACTTTTCAGTTGGCCAACATTTCTATAAATCCTTTGTTTTTATTGGTCTTCAGTAATATTCAAATTTTCTGATATGATGAATTTGAGATTTTCATTTGTTGTCATTTGTAATCATCAAAATTAAACAAAATAAACATCTGAAATATATGAGTTTGTATGTAATGTATGAATATAATATACAAGTTTCACTTTTTAAATGGAATTACTGAAATCAATCTACTTTTTCATGATATTCTAATTTTATGACCAGCACCTGTATGTGGTCGATATTGCTCTGTTCTTCCTGGAGATATTCCAGAAGAAGAAGATTCTGTTGTAAGCCCGACAGCAGGGTGAGTAGCATGAGCAGCAACCATTCAACACAGTACGGCGCCATTGTTGTTGTGATACTGTGTCGCGCATGCGTGTTTAGAGGCGACGCTATGACGCATGCGTGTAAGAAAAAAAATGCGGTTAGAGATTAAAGATGGAAACGCGAAAACTGCGTTTCAAAATCTTCCCACTCTGAAGGCTTAATAAAAAAAAGATCGTTTACAGACCCCCGAAACGCCGGCTTCGTATAGATGAGAGGCTGGTTTGGTGAAAAATGTGTGCGTTTAGGCCAGGGTTTGGCTTCGTGTGGACGGGGCCTTAGTCTCCATTCAAACCCAGGTTTAAAGCCTTGCAGGGCAGCCTAAAGCCCACTGCCAACATTAAGACAAAAAAAGAAAGAAAACAGTCAGTTCATGTGTTTTATTAAAAAAAAGTGAGTCAGGAAGTTGCCTATATTCCAAACTGAAAGATTGTTTTTCTCTACTTCAAAAAACACTTTAAAATTTTAAAATGGAAAAATGTTCTATTTTTATTTAAAAATTCAATATATAACATGGATTCTGTAAATTCTGTTAAAAGTAGAGTTGCACCGATACCAGTATCGTTCGGGGCCCCGATCCAGCACTAAAATGGTGGTATCGGTATCGGCGATCACGCTGTGCGGTTCTGATGTGCTTTACAAAAGCAAACAACGTCATCAGCATAGAGCATTATGCGAAAAAGATAGAGGGGAGTCTATAAAAGGGACAAGAATGCCAAAAACACTTCCAAGTTGGTTCTAAAGTGGATTACGATTAGTGTTGCATAGATACCAGTATCGGGTGGGGCCCCGATCCATCACTAAAATGGTTTTATCATTAACGGCAAGTACTAAAAGATAGGGCACCAATACTATTTTGAGAGCCAAAAGTTTATTCAACTATTGTCAACCATTCCAGGTAAAAAGTTCTACTGAATTCACTTTGTATTAGTCTTTTTCCTGCTTCACAAAGGTAGGCAGCAGCTTGACAAAGCCATGATGGCAATTATTTTACATCCAAGTAGTAGCCTATACAGTTCTTCATATATGTACACACATCAATTTCAAACCGATAGTATCGGTATAGGCCGATAGTGCACAGCCAGGTATCGGTTATCGGTATCGGGGCCAAAAAATGGCATCAGCACAACACTAGTTTAAAGTAATAAATTATAATTAAAAATGTCTCCGGACTTTTACTAGTTGTTAATTTTCTTTATTTACTAGTTGTTGATTTTAAATTGGTTACCCCTGACTTAAGGTAATAATCATTACAGATACTGTATTCTCTGGACTATAAGCCGCCATTTTTTTCCATGCTTTGAACCACGCAGCCTATGAGAAGGTGCAGCTTTTCTGTGGATTTTTCCTAACCGCAGGAAAGGATACGTTGGAAATTAAAGAATAAGGGGCTAATTTTCATTTAGCACAAGAACGTGCTAGCAGCAGGCTATACAGAGAACAAATGTCCCAAATTCACACATTTTCACATTTATTTGCCGCATTAAAGCTGCCGAACCAATGAAGAAACTGAGCTCTACTCCTGCAGAGCTTAAATAAAGAGCTGATGAAGCCCCATCTTTAGGTAGAAGCTAACTGCTGAAAGCTAACAAGCTAACTGGAGTTAGCATTCTTCTTTATCACTACTCCAGGGGCTATAATGTAGAGCTCCCCCTACAGGTTTAGTGGGAGACAGTTCAGTAGATATCAGCGGCTTATAGCCCGGTGCGGCTTATATATGCAAGTTTTAATTTTTTTCAAAAAAGTTTGTTTTATATATAATCTGGAAAATACGGTAATTGATCTTGACACGTTTCTTTGTTTTTTTTTCCTTCACTGATTGAGATGTGGTTCTGACTTCAGGTGGATGGACGACGGCATCGTGCAAGACATCACGCCGCGCCTCATCAGCGACAGGCCCAATACGTACACCTACACCAAAGCCCTGGCTGAGAACGTGGTGCAGCAGGAGCAGGACAAGCTCCACATCGGCATCATCAGACCCTCCATAGTGGGAGCCAGCTGGCAGGAGCCTTTCCCTGTACGTCAACTGAATGCTGCCCTCTTTTTCTGCCTCCAACAGCAAAACCAGCTATTATATGACACTGTGCAGTAAAACATGCAGTGTTTGCAGCAGGGAGGAAACCAACGTCTGCTCAATTTTAGAAAAATGTCACATTGAAAGGAGATTTTACTGAATTTGAATCAAAGGAGCTTATGTTCTATTCATAGATCCTGGTCTAAGCTGAAAAATGAAAGTAAAAAGAGTAAAACTAAGAATCTTACACTGTTTTCTTTAAATAAGTGCATCAAATTTTAAATACTAAGTTTCTGCTTTTTATTATTTTAAAATTTCCTGAACTTTAAAATTACACTTGAGAAATTTCCAGAAAGAAAACAAAGACTGGTTCTAGTTTCTAATTAAAAACAGTGTTTAAACAGAGCTTTTATAATTTTAGGACATGGTTTATATCCTAAATAATAATCAGATAAAGCTCTGCTCTTTTTAAATGAAGTAAATGTTATTTATTTATGTAGATATTTGACCTTTATGCTCAAAAAGACCCCAAATAAATGGAGTTAAAAAAATGAATTAATTAATAGAAAAATGTATAGAAAATAAATATAAAAAATAGGGAAATTAAATTCAAATATACTCTTTTTATCTCAAGGGGAAAATAATAAATAAAATTTATATATATATATATATATATATATATATATATATGAAGACAACTAATTGGTTAGTTAAAAGAACTAATTAATCAAATGAGATAATTCATTTAATAAAACAAGTTCATTACCACTGACTTAAAAATTCTCTATTTTAAGGAGAGTACAACAATATTTTGTGTGAATACTTTAAATATATATTAATTAAAGAAAGAAACGAGTTTAATTCTTATTTTGAAAAATAATTAACATATGTTTCTTAATTAAAATCCCAAATGTGTTTTTTTTTACTGCATTTTTCTTGTTTCTAGAAGTTTTTTTCATGTGTTTAGTTTTGTTTTTCTCTTTTTTTTGTAAATTTATTTAAAATTTAGTTTATTTTGAGTTAATCATCATTTCTTTTCATTCTTTTAGACTTTCATATTGACTAAGTTTAAGTCTATTTTAAGTAGGTAATCTGTTTTTTTCCCGCTGCAGTTTGAAGTAAAAGTTGTTTTTGTTGTTTTTATTAGTTGCATGTTTTAGCTTAAATGAAGGAAATTGGGGCGTCTCTGAGGTGCCTGACTAAAACAGCGCAGCCACTGAGGGTATTGCTTGTTTATGTGGAGTCAGGACACCTGGAGCTTGTGTGACATCAGCTCCTGGCTCTGATCAGCCTGCAGTTGTTCACCCAGCATGGCAGCGACTCTTCAAAGAGGCCCGGCTCACACTGGGCAACGCCGCGGACCCTGTAAGCTGCCAGGGCGGCTTGTTTGTGTGTGGCATGTTTACTCGGCCCCCAGTGGGCCCTGAATCCACAGCAGTCTGTTAGAGAGGCTTTCATCCATTGTTAATGGAGTCTAACTGAAGGCGACGAGCGCCGCTCCTCAGCCACAAGCTCCAGCCCTGTCCCCCCACCCCCACACGCTGCTGCTCCAATCATGGGTTCACAGCTGATATTGACTCTGAAAGCTCTGCTCTCTCACACCTCAGGGTTGGATCGACAACTTCAACGGGCCGAGCGGAGTCTTTATCGCTGTAAGTGAAATCGCCCGGCTTCCATCTTAAAGGCTTTCATTTATGCAGATCAGTGCTGGAGGTCTTAGCTGATGTTCTGTGATCAGGCCGGGAAGGGGATCCTGCGGACCATGAGGGCCAACAACGACGCCGTGGCCGACCTGATCCCGGTGGACGTGGTTATCAACCTGACCCTGGCTGCAGGCTGGTACACCGCCATGCACAGGTGAGGCAAGGGGGCGGGGCTTTGTAGTCTGCAAAAAGTTTGGAAATGAATCTTCCTCTTTTCTGAATCTAAATTTATTCCTGATTTGTTTTTGTTTTTGCTTTCATCCTGTTCTTCATTCCTCTCCTTTCATCCTTCTTTTCTCATGTTCCCTACCCCCGTTTCTTCACATTTTCCTAAATTTATCTCCCTTTTTTGAGTTTACTTTGATTTCTTCTTTTGTTATTTAAAACCTGCCTTTTATTTAATGTTTATGCAACAATTGTACTTTTATATTTTAAAATTTGAGGCGGTCAGAACAAGTCTAATAAGTATGAATCCCTATTTCAGCATTTTATTTGTAAATGAACAAGCTCCTATGTTTTAAAATACTGAGGTGACCATTAAAGAACTCTTTCAGGGACCTAAAGAAAAGTTTGAAATTATCTTGTTTTTTTTAAGGACTTTCCAAATTACAGTTCCTAATTGCACAACAAGTACAGCTGTAACCTGATGCAGAAGGAAGTCTGTTACACAGGAGTGGCTCCTTTGTAAATAATTTTACAATTTAAGGTTGGCTGAAAAAAGACAGAGAAGATTTCTTTTTAAAGATTGTGCTTGACTCGTAAAAATACATCATTTTAACAAAACCAGATTATTTCCTGCTTTCAAAGATGGGTAAAACTAATGATGCTAGAAGTTACTCATTGCACTTTTATTGAGATAATTTGATGCTGACTGGGTAAAATATAACTGCTAAAGGTTTGTTAGATTTTTTTTTTTTTTGCCGTCAGATTTTTCAAGAAAGAAATGGAAAAACTGGTTCACTGATTTCCTCTTTATGCGCTAAAGACTGGGTGTGAAATGCTGAAATCCTTTCGGCTGAATCACCTCCTCCTCCTGCCTGAGGTCCCACTCATTCCTTCTCTGCTGACTGGGTCAGATGTTCCGTTTTGGTGGGAATCGGTTAGGAAAATGTAGCCTCTCCCTTTGGAAATGCCACAGAAATTCCTGGAGAACAAATGTTCATTTAACCGACTGCTCCATGCGCTAAAACTTGCTCCATAGCAAGAATTGAGAAAGCTTCCTGGAGAGGTGGCGAAACGTCTTCAAATCTTGGAAACCAAGTCCAGTGGATATTTTTTGAATTTTTACGGAATAACATTAAAGAGTTCTTTAGCCTACTTCATGCGGTCCTAGTTTGAGGGGATCCTATCAGTCCAGCAGTAACCAGGCCTGAATGTTGCTCTTTTCTAAACAATTGATAATCTAACTTCATTTTCTGTTTAATATCTAAGATTTTCTTCCCCTTTAAAGGAATAGTACACCCAAAACATGATTAGCCTTCATTTTCTACTCACCCCCATGCTGAACAACACTCTGGAGTACTTTTTTGATATCTCAAATGCATCTGGAGATCTGGGAGGCTTCTTGCTGTCTGCTGACATTCAAATAATGGAGGTCTATGGCGCCCGAGGCAGAAAGGTCCATAAAAGTCCACAAAAAACGTGTCAATATTCCTCCATACTGCTCGTCCAATGTATTCCAAGTGTCCTGAGTGGGCAGCATCCATAATTTACTCGAAACAAAGTCATTTAGAATGTTTTTAGAGCATAAACAGTAGTGTATAGGATTTCCTAAAAGCGCGTTCACGACGCTACGGAAGCCGGCAGACCAAACCAGATGAAAGTGCGCATTCAGCGTCTGCTCTGCCGATAATGCAAGCGTAGAAGAAGAAATGTGCTGTTTACCTGTGCAAAGAAAGAAACAACGAAAGAAAAATGTCTGAGGACTTCAGTGTTGAGGAAGAGCCGAGCTGAATGCGCACTTTCATCTGGTTTGGTCTGCCGCGGTTTCCGTAGAGTCGTGAACGCGCTTTTAGGAAATCCTATACACTGCTGTTTATGCTCTAAAAACATTCTAAATGACTTCGTTTCGAGTAAATTCTGGATGCTACCCACTCAGGACACTTGGAATACATTGGACGAGCAGTATGGAGGAATATTGACACGTTTTTTGTGGACTTTTATGGACCTTTCTGCCTCAGTCACCATAGACCTCCATTATTTGAATGTCAGCAGACAGCAAGAAGCCTCCCAGATCTCTAGATGCATTTGAGATATCAAAAAAGTACTCAGAGTGTTGTTCAGCATGGGGGTGAGTAGAAAATGAAGGCTAATCATGTTTTGGGTGTACTATTCCTTTAATGAATGAAATCATCATTTAAAATCAGCCATTTGTGTTTATTATAGTGATTTTTTTCAGACGTAGTAAACTGAAATATTTAGTTGTACCAGAAAACAAAAACAGAAGAAATCTGCAATGTGAGACTTAAATCTTCCTTCTTTTGCAGGCCGAAAACGGCTCTGGTGTACAACTGCACGACCGGCGGCATCAACCCATTCCACTGGGGGGAGATTGGTAAGTATTTGCTGGTTGGCTTGTTTAAGGTTAACGGGAACCAGTCGGTGCAGGCTGACGTTTATAGAGATGTTATAGCCGCTCTGGTTCTCTGGCATCATCCCATATGGATCAATCAGCCCTGTGACATGATGTTTGTGGTTACAGGGGTGGGTTGAGGCAGGGAAGGCTGCCACCTGCTGGAGAAAACAGGAAAATGGATAAAAAGGAATCAGATTCTTATTCTTTCCACAAATAAATCTGCTTTGCTTTTTTAAAATCGGTGTCACTCTAAATAATATCGCTGTCATCAAAGACTAGTTTGCTATAATTATGTTTTTAAGATATCAACCTAATTATAGCTAATTCATTCTTTATGTTTTGGGGGAAATCACATTTTAGAATAGAATAAAAAAATCCTTTTATTGTCCCATAATGGGGGAATTCTGGTGTTTAAAGCGGCAAAAAGATGATAGAAAAAATGTTCACACAAATGTGGACCTTAGAAAAATTTATAAGAATAAAATAATAGTGCAGAGTTAAAAGATAAACAATAAAATACTGTACTTTAAAGTGTTTTAACAACATAAAACTGTGCACCTGGAGAATAAATAACCAATATACAGCTATGGACATTTTTTTTATAAAAGTACCAATACTGGGATGAAATATTACTCAAGTAAAAGTAGTAAGTAGCTAATTTAAAATGTATTTTAAGTAAAAGTTACTTAGTTACGTTAAAAAAAAAAAAACTGTTGAACGGAGCAGTGGATCTCTCCCATGTAGTGAAAATAGGACAAGGAGTCATAAATCCAAAACTATTTAGTTTTTAATTTAAGAAAAATCTATACAAATGTAAACACATGTAATGACAAGACAACGCATGTCACACATGACATTTTAGACCCTTATAAATGTATAATGTGCCATTTTAGAGCAGAACATCCCATAAAACTTTTTCAAACAATCAATTGAAGGTAAAAGTGCCATAAATTGTTGGTTCTGAGGGCCGTCCTTCTTTTCTTCAAACATTAACAACAATACTTAGTTGTTTTTTTTAGCAATTTATTTTCCCAAGGCACTCAGAGCCGCGGGTTGCCGACCCCTGTGCTAGACAAAATTAGCAATGCCACGAAACAGGTTGTTTTGCTAACTGGCTATTAGTCATGAAAACTTAGTTTGAAGTACCAATTCATTAAATACTTACCAAAACATGCTTCCGCAGATTAGATGTGGAGTTAATGAATCACCTTTGGCAGACACATCTGGCATTGCATGATGATACTGTTGGCCCTCTTGAATTTAAATGAAAAGCAGTCTTTCAAATGTGGCGGAGGATTTTCGTCGTTTTGGGCAGCAGAATTCGATGTTTCAGCGAGCATTTCTAGTGAAACGTTCTCTGAACCGTCGTCGCTCTCCTGATCCACCTCCTTGTCGTTCCCAATCTCCTACAGAAAGACTTGGCGCCTGGTTGCCTAGATCTACATGCTGATCGCGTGACTCGCTGTAGTGCTTCCGGGCCCCATTTTCAGTCTTCCTTTCGGTTTTCCAAATTTTTTTTTTTTTTACTCAGTAACAGATGGGATTTGTAATGTAACGAAATACAATACTTCTATGGGGAGAATTATCCTGCCATAATGCAAGAGCACATAATTTCAATTTGAGAAAAGAATTTCATCTTCTTGCACTCAAAACTTATAATGATCACTCTCAAAACATGCGCTCTCTCTCAAATATTTTCTCTTCTCTCTCAAATCTTTGTTTCTTCTCTCAGATTTAATGCTTCTTCCACAGATATTTTCTCCTCTCGCTTGCCTCCTTCTCTTCACGCACAAACCGCGCTCTGCTGGAGTCTCAGATACGCTCGCAAACCCGTAGGCTCTGCTTGCGGATTTTTTTGCGCTCTCTCAGATTGGATCGGATCGTCGCCTAGCAACCTTTCCAGCCAATAGAACGACAGCCTCAGAAAAGGTGCGCTTGTTTAATCCTACTGAGTGTGCCTGTGATAAACCTTACCGACAATAAATAATCTGAGAGAGAGCAAAAAAAATCCGCAAGCAGAGCCTACGGGTTTGCGAGCGTAACTGAGACCTGAGCAGAGCGCATGTTTTGAGTGTGAGCATTATAAGTTTTGAGTGCAAGAAGATGAAATTCTTATCTTAAATTGAAATTATGTGCTCTTGCTTTATGGCAGGATAATTCTCCCATATACTAAACTCAAAATGTAATCAAGTAAAATTTAAATTACCGATTTTAAAACTACTTGAAAAATACAAAATACACAACTCAATACAGTAACTTGAGTAAATGTATTTCGTTACTTTCCACCTCTGGTTATTTGAAAATAGCAGAAACATCAAAATCCTTCTTTTGAATCCTTTATTAATGTGGTGTTTTATTGGAAAGGAGCAGCAGACTTAGGAAGCTGCAAAAGAGTTTTTATAACCACAACATTTTAATCTTAATAAAGGAAACTAACGGCGCTCTAGAAGCCTCTGCAATTGGATTTTAAATCTTCCCAGATTTGAATAAATGTGGGAAAAGGGTTCCTGATGTTGTAATTTGTCATGGAAATGTGCAGCAACCACCTCCTCACATGGATTCACGTGAAAAAGTAATACTGATATTTTTTTTTTTCTGCTTCCGTTGTCAGACTGACAAATTTGCCACAGAAATCACCACCAGATGGCTTTGGGATGGGAAGGCTCTGGGGTCAGTCTTCTGTCCAGATGTCCCGGCGTGTTATTAAACGTCAGGGATCAGGGGATAACAACAGATCCGAATCAAGCGTCAACCTTAAAACGCAGCTCAGGAAGCACTCTTAAGCTGCGGCGGGTTTTTGTTGTTTCTGCTCAAGGTTAGAAGCGAGGATCCGGGCCACAGCTGCCTTTCACCTCGGATCCGGTCATCTCAGCCCCCCTGCGGCGGCCTCGTATCTGTTGGCATGGAAACAAAGGTTACTAGGCCTAGTTCCATGCTGCGTATGATGTAATGTCTGCAGTCACATGGCTGCCCTCCGAGCATCTGTGGATGGATTGCGTGTGGAGGGGAGGGAGCTGAACGTCCCTGAGTCATGATTAAGGCTGAAGGTCGTTGTCGGACGGGATCCTTCCACAGAAACTAGTCCCATGCCTCGACCTGTTGACTTGGTGGGGATAAACGTCCATGAAGTTAAAAATCACTGACCCGTTTTTATATTGCATCAGAGAGGAAAAGCTTAGCAGGGGATTATCTGAAATGCAAAAACCTTCTGTTCTTCGTTGGTTTTGCAGGAGGAACTTTCCAAATAAATGTTTCATCATTTGGATTTAAAAATCTAAAAGCTTATTGTGATTCACGCAGAGATAAAGGAGTCTTTTTTTTTTTTTTGTGTGTTGATCTGTTTTTAATTCTTCTTGCAGAGCACCATGTGATATCGTCCTTTAAGAGGAACCCTCTGGACCAGGCTTTCCGAAGGCCCAACGCCAACATCACCTCCAACTACCTGATCAATCAGTACTGGATTCTGGTCAGCCACAAGTTCCCCGCCTTCATCTACGATCTCTTCCTCCGTCTCTGTGGACAGAAGCCACAGTAAATATCTACTTCCATCTTTCTCTACAAGGAAATGTTCATCTTCGTTTAAATTTATAACCGCTGATCGTTTCTTTCCCCCCTTAGGATGATGCGCATCTTTAATCGTCTGCACAAGGCCATCAACCTGCTGGAGTACTTCAGCAGTCAGGACTGGGAGTGGAGCTCTGAGAACGTGAACATGCTGATGAACCAGATGACTCCTGATGACAGGAAGGTGAGCTGAACCAGCTTCTTCTCCAAACAACCATCCAACAAACATCTGATTTCATCACTAAATATCGCACTTTAAACTCAGATTACATTTCAAATTGTCATATTTATCTTACTGCTACATTTTATGCGACTTCTGACTGCAGCTAATAATGGAGCTGTAAGGTGTGCTTGTTCAAATTCTCAGGCTAAGTCCAGTTTCCCCCAAAACCCTCTACTGCAGCTTTAACATAAAAGAAAAAAAAAAACGTGAAAATCTACCGTAATTTTTGGACTATTAGCCGCACCTGAATATAAGCCACAGAAGCTACATTGCATGATTTGTACATATACAAGACGCACCGGACTATAAGCCGCAGGTTTTTTATGTTTAACACAAACTCTCTTTTGTGTTAAACATAAAAACATCGCAATGTCCGTCTTTCTCGCTGTCGTTCTGTCTCGAACCACTCGCAGTAGAAGTCTGCTTCCGGAGGAACTCCGCATTCCCGCGCGCGCGGCTACCGTACTTGTGTGTTTAAGCAAATGTGACGTCAACATGGCGGATGGTAAAATCCATAGATTCAGGTATTACCCTAGTGGCCGTTAGCTGTAAAAGTCCATAGATTAACCGCATTGTTATATAAGCCGCAAGGTCGTAAAATGGGGAAAAAGTCGCGGCTTATATTCCGAAAATTACGGTATTAAATTAGTAAAATAAGAGCTCGGTTCGGTTCACGGTTTTGTGGTCACGGTTTTTGGTTCGGTATATGTTGATTGTTAGCATGACATGTTGGTCGATGTTGGTCGTGTTGCTGTTAGCATAAACAAAACGTGTTGCACAATGCTTGCACACTGTTGCACTTTTATCCACCACTTTCTTTCCGCCGTCATCGTAGGTCACTCTAAATGCAAAGTGGTCCCATACAGCAGACATATAAAGTGCTGCTGGCGCGTCTTCCAACTCCTGTTCTTTCCCACTCGCCATACCAACACAATTCTCCACAACAACTGATTTTTTTCTGCTAAGCTGTTTCGCTTCTTCTTCTTCGTGTTTACTACTGGTGGTTGGCTTTGGTCGCAGTACCGCCACCTTCTGCTCTGGAGTGTACACGCTTCGCCTATGAGAAAAAGGAGCAGCGCATGAACCGAATGCAACACATGCGAATCGAACCGAGACAGTCGAACCGAACGGTTCGGACGGTTTTCATAAACCGTTCCATCCTTAATATATATTTAATTTTTTTGTTTTCTTCCTCAGGCATTTAACTTTGATGTGCGCCAGCTGAACTGGCCAGAGTACATTGAGAACTACTGCATCGGCACCAAGAAGTACGTCCTGAACGAAGACATGTCCGACATTCCTGCTGCCAGGCAGCATCTAAGAAAGTAAGTTAACAACAAAACGGTTGAATTTTTTCAGAAAAAAAAAAACATGAAAAGTACAAACAATATGAGCACCATCCTTTACAGAGGTCACAGATTAGCGGACCCACCTGCTGGCTAATCCGGACCCAACCTGATTTAAAACATTTATAAATTACCGTATTTTCACGACCATAAGGCGCACCGGACTAAAAGGCGCACTCTCAGTTATGTGTCCCATTTCTGTATTTAACACACACATAAGGCGCACCGGACTATAGGGCGCGTTTTTTATATACAGGTACATGTCCTCTACTACCTTTAAATACCTCTACTGTGTATTTAAAAATACAGCGGGGGCAAAACTGAGTATGACTGTGCTTTATTCATGTATTTATTACAAAGTATTAATCAAACCTGGGAGCTGGCCTGAGACAGACACGTCGCAGATGACACAGCGCTGTGATCACTCCTAAATTAACTTAAAATCCTGAAACCTGCCGACGGAATATGTTCGCTTTTATTACCGGTATCCTGGTGCCTGCAGCTAAAATTATTTAGATGAAAAACACCTGCCAGCAGCCGCGGTGAACGAAAGGATTTCTACTGTCGGTGCACCGCTGGTATGTGGGGGTCTGAGCGCCTCCGACAGAAATAGATAATCTGGATGAACTGACTGCAATTATTAAGTTTTCAGGTGGCCTTTCTCACTTAAAAACATATTTATACTTATTTATTCCCACTGATCACAGCAAATATAGCTGCAAGATTTAGATTATTTAGATGAAAAAACACCTGCCAGCCACCGCGGTGAAGAGGAGGAGACCCGCCCAGAGGCTGCTGTTGAATTAAGCTTTCAGGGAGAAAAATAGAGCGGGAGCAAACCTGAGTATGATTGTGCTTTATTCATGTATTTATTACAAAGTATTAATCAAACCCATCAAAGTCATCATCCTCTGTTATCCTCAGCATTCCTCTGAATAAAACAGCTGCGCTAAATCAGACATGCCAGTTTCCCCTTCTTCGCTGTCAGTCACTTTCCGTGCAGCGCAGCTCCTCAGAAATAATGCCGGCTTTTGCGAAAGCTTGAACAACAGAGCCAGCAGACACAGTCCATCTACAATCCATCCGCAAACGGTGGCGTAACTTGCACGGCGCTGCCTTCCATTTATCATGAAACTGTGGTCTCCGTCTGTCATCCATCGCTCCCACGCCGCTCGCAGCCTTACTGTGAACGGCCGCTTCAAACCGATGTCGAGCGGTGGAAGTTCCTTTGTCAGACCCCCGGGATAACGGCGAGCACAGCGTTCATTTGATTCATCTTTTTTTCACATCGGCTGTGAGATGGGCACGCAGCTATGGTGATGTGTGGAAAAAAGCACCTGGTCTCCTCACATACACCTGTCTCAGCCACGCTTTCATCATCTCCTCATCCATCCACCCAGCCTTTTCATTTGCGTTAATATCATATGTCATCAGAGCGCTGTCTGTCTCGCTGCCAGCTCCCAGATCAGCTTCTCTGATTGGTTGATGCGGCGCGTCCAGCAGCAAAACTTCAATTTTTCCATCTGAGCAGCAGCAGCGCGTTGGCGGTGCATCAGATGCTTAAACGCTCCCGACGTGCTGCACCAAAACGCGCTGCGGGACCTTTTGCTGCGCCTATACGCGCGTCAACCATTGACTTTGCATGTAAACTCGCTGCTTCTGCTGCACCTGCTGGGTCCGGTTCACACCGATGTCGAGTGGTTGAACAGCGAGCTAAGGGTTAATTTGTTTCCCCATGTTTTTCACATCAGCTGTGAGATGGGCACGCATGGAGTCAGATTAACAGCGATGGTGATGAGTGGGAAAAAAACAGCTGGTCTCCTTACATTCAGCCACTCTTTCATCATCTCCTCAATGAGGTGGTCTCAAAAGTCGCAGTTACAACACACATAGGGCGCACCGCACCATAGGGCGCACCGCACATTTTGAGGGAAAAAAAAGACGTTTAAGTGCGCCTTATAGTCGTGAAAATACGGTACTTAGGGATGCACGATATTGGGATTTTGGCCGATATCCGATATGCCGATATTTTAAAACTCATGTAGTCGATAACCGATATCGATACCAATGTTAAAGCTGGACAAAAATAAGTAGTCATTGAAAATAGCAGTTTTGTTATCCATTTCTGACACTTTGAAAAATAATATACTTAAATATATTTTCATATGCTGATATCAAATAGATTTTAAAAACGCGATATTGATCTATTTTACTTTCAAAATCTGGTGAAATTTCATCGTTCTGTTACAAACTCTCGTGATATTTTGCAAATTCTGGTGAGATTTTGTAAGTAAAATAGATCGATACCGCGTCAATATATCAACATATAAAAATATGGCAAAATTTCGTGAATTTTCGGGGGATTTCGTAGCATAACGATGACATATAGCAATATTTCATTAGTAAAAGAGATTGATATGGTGTTTTTTAATGGCAATATATCAGCATATGAAGATATTGTGATATTTTAATCTATCAATATTATTTCCCTCGTCTTTAGAAGTTTTTAAGTCTGTAAAAAAGTAGTATTTTTTTTAGACTTTAGAAACTCAGAAGCTGATCAAATATTGGGTTAAATATCGGTGGGGTGGCCGATGTCCGATATTCAGTTTGAAGGCCGATACCGATAGGGGGCCGATTATATCGTGCATCCCTATTAAAATACCGCATGTTGTCCAAAGACGGTGTCTAATTTCACTTGCGCCTCTTCTCCTGTTAATACGGTAAAGCCCCGGAGCATCTGGCTCCAGGCTGCGCGTGATCCAAATTAGCCAATGAGCTGTCAGTCTGGGTTGCTGCTGCTGCTACTTGTAGACACAGCAGGCAAATCATCAATCAGCTGGAGTTCCTCTATTAGGTCGATCAATAAATTGACTTATGGCTACATAAACTATAAAAAGTCGAAGGTTAAATGAAAGGTCTGGTCTTATGTGTCTCTTCTCATTGTCACCCAGGTTGAGGAACATCCGATACACCTTCAACACGCTGCTAGTTGTTTTCATCTGGCGGGTGTTCATCGCCCGCTCCCAGATGGCCAGAAACATCTGGTACTTCGTCGTCAGCCTCTGTTTCAAGTTCCTCTCCTACTTCCGTGCATCCAGCACCTTAACCAACTGAGTCTTCCAGACAGCCTTGAGCCAGAGACGGACAGCCCTCGCCTTTAGCTGTCGGTTGTAAATAAAAAAAAAAAAAAAATCACCTTACGCCCAGACACTCTCGATGTGGACAAACGGGGCTCTCCACAGAGGGGCGTCTGCAGCCGAGTGAAGTCAGAAGGAGAATAACGAGGTCTTTTGCCATTTACTTATTTGTTAAGTTGGGAAATCCGTCGTTTAAAGCTTGACATTCCCTGTCAGGAAACCCCGTCCATCGAAGAAAGCGTTGTCTTCTTTTCTACCGTACGTTTCCCTCAAAGTGGCCAATTATATATGCAACGATACACCTTCTGTGTGACTCTCACCCGCCTTCCCCAACCCCGTCAATCTCAGATCATCATCTGGCCTTGTGATATCTTTGTTTTCCATACTTGAAATGCAACGTTGATGCAGAGGTGGAGGATCTCAACATATTTTTTTATTTTATTCTTGAATACATCTTGCATTACGTGCATCGACTGCCTTTTTTTAAGATGACACTCCACATTATTTACAAAAGTCGTAAAAGATCACATTTGCCCTCACATGGCTTCGGAACGTGGAGACATGCTAGTTAGATGATGTGTTAATCGCTTCTTTTATGGCGAACCTTGTCGGAATGCTCATGTTTATACAGCTGTTTGTACTGAACTGGGTTTACTACTTTTACATCTTTATACTTGCACCAAAAAAGCAAGTCTGATCGCGTGTTAGACCTTGGCAGTGTAGTATTTATAAATAAAAGTACATAAGAGTTATTTGTATAGCAAAGCGCATACTGTACGTTGTTCCTCAACATCAGGCATCCCCAAAGTGGGTCCTGAATGGCCGCTTTCCTGCAGGATTTGGAGGTTTCCCTGCTTTAGCAAAGCTGATTATTATGATTGCAGTAGAGCAAAAGCCTGTTAATCAGCTTTCAATTAAAATTAGCTGTGCTGGAGCAAAGAAACCTCTAAAACCTGCTGGACAGAGGCCCCCGAGGGCCGACTTTGGTGATGCCTGCTCAACATGGTCCTACACTGGAAAAACGATCTATAAATAAGTAAAAAAGCCTTAAATTAAGTGCATTTACCCTTATTTTAAATAGGTAAATGAGATATTTTGCCAATGGAATGAGTATTTTTACTCTTAAAATAAGATAATTAGATAACATGCACTTGAAATAAGACGATGCAATTGTCTTTTCTTATTTTAGGTGTAAATTGTCTTGTTCCATTGGCAAAATGTCGCTTTTACCTCCTTAATCCAAGAACAATTGCACTTATTTTAAGAAAAAATTATCTAGATTTCGATTTTTTTTCCAGTGTAGGCAAGCTCTTTGAGAGAATATCCTCCAAAACTTGGAAACAGGAACACTGAAGGGGTTCAAAAGTGGAATTAAGGATTCATGAAAATTAGGCTGTTAAATTATTTGTCAAAACGTAATCGTTTATTTTATAAGGGATGCTTTAAGCGAGCAATTAAGAGTGGAATTAAAGTGGTAACTGCAAAATTTAAATTACTCTGGAAATGACATGCTAAAGTTTGAGTGGAAAGTAGCTATCGTCTACATCGACGCACATAAACTAGCTAATTGGTTAAAGGGACCGAGTACACCACCATGAGGGACGCCACTTTTAATAGAATGGAGGAATGCTGCTATATTAGGGATTAGATGTGCTTGGCTTCCTTTATCCCAGCTTTATAAAAAAGAAAAATCTCAGACTTTGTACCAAAAACTTGTATTTGTTGGATTTTTCTTCTGGTGTGTTCACAGGACCACAGAGCTTCCCTCTAACTACAATAAGTATTTACAGTAATACTCAAAGCTGAGGAAAACTGGGCGGGAGGTTCAATAATAATAAACTGAATGACCTTTTGTGGAGGAAAAGGGAAGAAAATATGTTTATGCAAAACTCATGTTTGACGTCTGTCTGCGTTCGTTTGTTCGTTAGAGGACAGCCTGATGAAGAACCGTTTTTTTTCAACCTGTACCCCCAAAGAGCAACAGGGCTATCTAAATGGTGTCGGTCGTGTTCGTCCCTCCAGGTAACCGCGCTGTCTTCGTTCGATTAAATGCGACGCACCGCTGGTGTCACGCCTTCAGAATGCAGCAAACTGAAACAAGAAACCCAGAAGGTTTTTTTCTTTCTGACTGGTTGTCATTTTTGCACATTGTTTGAACACCTGTGTTCCCTGCTCTAAAAAGTCCGCTTGGCAAAACTGAAATAAAGAAGATAAAAAGTGCATCTGTGGTGTGTTCTGATTGGAAAATGTGGATTTTTGTTGTTTTTCAGCTAAATATCCTGCTGGTTAAGAGTTTATGCTTATTATTTCATTTTGGAACAGATTTGGTTGATTTTTCTTTTTCTGTTTATATTTCTAAATATTTGCATTAAACCTAATTTTATAAATCGGAGGTCTTCTACAGGTGTATGGAAGTAAATCTGTGTCGCTGGGATTTGAATTAAAAATGCTACTGAAATTTAAATGTTGTATGTTTGTACTTACTGTTTCAGTGTTAAATATATTCAGGACACATTTTTTACTTAAAAAAAAAATTCATTGTCATTATTTCTACAAAGTTGAAATTTCATTTGTTTATATTCTCTTTAAGCTAAAAATTCACATTACTATTCCAAAGAGATTACATTTTCAATACTTATTTTTCAGTTAAATTTTTCAGTGTTAAAAAAAATCTGCATATAAAAAAATTCAACCTTTCAAAATTCAAACTCAACGGTGAGTTTATTACTTTCATTTTTCTGTGGTTGAGTTAGCGTTAGCTAGCATGACCGGCTACGTCATGTTGGTTTCACTTCCATATGAGCGCCACAAGCGTCACGTCATGTGACGTACAAAACGTAACGGGATTGGCTGGGTGTTGGACGCCACAATCCATCGCTAATGTCTGTGACCTGAAGTAACCCCTTTCCTATTTACACTGAATTTAGACGCCCAATTTAAGACGGTGAAATAGAGCCAGTGTCACAGTCTTGGTTTTGTTATTTTTATTTAGAGTATTCAGTCTTACTTTGCTCCTTGCTTTAATGTCTAATTATTATTTTGTTGTTTTCTTGTTAGTTCCTGTCCTCCAGGTTTTCCATTTGTTGTCCTCTGCTGCCCTCTTGTGTCCTCTATCCCTAGCTCTGTTTTCTGCTCTGTCCTTTCTTGCTGTTTTCTCTGTCCTGCCAGCACCTGTTGCCAATTTCCTCGTCAGCTCTCTCTTTGTCTCTGTCGCCTTTAAAAACCCTCCCTCTTCAGTCCTTGTTTGCTGTATCCTCGTCTTACATCTCATCAAACCTCTGGTCAGTTCTCTGTTGTCCTTCCTTGTCTCTTCCTGGTTCTTAGTTTTGGTTTTTCCCTGATGTCTCCTAGATTCTGGTTCTTAAGATATTTTTGTTGGATTTTTTGACTCCTGTCTTGTGAGATATTTTTGTTGGATTTTGACTCCTGCCTCTGAGCCTGTTTACCTCCTGCCTCAGAACCTGAAAACCCATTAAAACACTTAAATTCATCTCAACCAACTCGTCTCTGCATTTGGGTCCTCTACCAACACCACCAAATCGTGACAGCCAGTTGAATCTCAGGAGGCTGAAAATATTAAGTTTGAATTTTGAAAGGTTGAATTGTTTTATATGCAGATTTTTTTAACACTGAAAAATTTAACTGAAAAATAAGTATTGAAAATGTAATCACTTTGAAATAGTAACGTGAATTTTTAGCTTGAAGAGAAAATAACGTAGAAATAATGACAATGAATTTTTTTTAGGTCAAAAATGTGTTCTGAATATATTTTAACACTGAAACAGTAAGTACAAACATACATTAAAATTTCAGAAGCATTTTTAATTCAAATCCCAGCGACACCGATTTACTTCCATATCCGTGACCCCTAGGGGGTCCATGGAGGTACTGCATGGGGGTTGCGAAAGTTTTGGTTGATTAGACTTTTTTTTATATTCCCCCTGCAATTTTTTCCACTAATTGAAATGTCTTTAAATCCAAATTAACATGAATTCAACACACTGTAGTAAACAGATAAATGGAGGCAGAAGATGTCTTTCAGTCATCAATGCTCACATTCAGTGACACACAGGAGCTCTTTCAAGCTGGGCACCGTTTCATTCCCCGCTCCATCTTGCCATCAGTTTTGGGGTCCTTAGCTTGGAAAACGTTGAAGGCCCCTCTTATAAAGGATTGTCCTAATTAAAGGGGCTAACAACAGAAACAAGCCAGATTTTTTAACGTGAAAAAATGTTTAAATTAATCCTTTTAGAGGGATTTATTTAGACTTAGACAGATTTTATTTGTCATTTTGTTTACACAAGTGTAAAACAAAAAAAATTCGTTTGGAACAGCTCTCTGGACAATTTCATCTTTTTTTAAAAGTGCAGCGTTGAATAATAGCAAAAATGACTAAATTTAGATTAAATTTAAACATTTATTTAACTGAATTAGTTGAAGGGGAAAAAAAAAAAAGCAAACGGGGAGTTTACTTAATGCCTCAACAGTTTGCATTTTCTCAGACTGTTGCTGCTCCACCTGCTCTGCATCAATCAAAGCGCAATAATCCCGGCTTTACAGCAGGAGTCTGCATGAACCCCCCCCCCCGCTCGCAACAAGCACCTGGGTTTGCTGCAGGGAAAAGGATTTAAGGGATTTAAAGCTCCAGTGTGTTTCTGGACCAAAGCTCTGATATTAGGAAACCTAAAAAAAAATGAGCAGACGCATCTTCTGGTTCATTGGAGTTTATTCTCTTTGAAATAAAACACAAAGGTTGGTTTTAAGCACAGACATAATTCGGAACTCACATTTACAACAACTAAAAACACATTTAAAACCGTCTGGGAGCATATGTTTACAAATGAAAGTTCTGGGTTTTATGGACGTGAAACGCACCTGTTCAGCTTAGATTTAAACCAGATGATGTTATAATCCCAAAATAAGCATGTTATAATCACAGAGATTAAAGAGGAGGGTTTTCCAGCAGAAAAGGAGCTTGGTGATTGTTCAGATTATTCATCTGGTTGTGCAGCTGCATCTCCTGCAACAGATTTAGTGTGTTTTTAAAGTTCGTATAAATGTGCAGAAATGATGAAAGAGGTTTGGACTCACCTCTCTGGGCCTGTAGACCCCGAGTCTGAAGCGACAGCAGATGATGTCGAAGCAGAAGCCGATGAAGCCGTGAATCATGCCTGTTTAAAAAAAAAAAAAAAAAAAAAAAAAATCTCAAGTCATGGTAAAGCTTGAATGCTAAACGACTGTTTTAATGAATGTAAATCCAGATGTTGGAACATTAAACAGGTACGGAAGAGGATTAGGGCCACTGGGAAAAAAAAAAAAAAAGTTAACTGATTTTTTTAATTTTATTTCAGTATAGTATGGGAAAAAAGTCAGAATTCTGACTTTAATGTCAGAATTCAGACTTTTTTCCTCAGAATTCTGAGAAAAAATTCAGAATTCTGACTTTAATCTCAGAATTCTGACTTTTTTCTCAGAATTCTGACTTTTTTCTCAGAATTCTGACTTTTTTTTATTATCAGAATTCAGTCAGAATTCTGACTTTTTTCTCAGAATTCTGACTTTTTTCTCAGAATTCTGACTTTAATCTCAGAATTCTGACTTTTTTTATTATCAGAATTCAGTCAGAATTCTTTTTTCTCAGAATTCTGACTTTTTTCTCAGAATTCTGACAATA